TCATGCAAGGGAGGGTGACTGAAAAAAAAAATCGTGCAAAGAGGTAAAGAAAAAAAAATACCTGCAGAGTGAATTGCACTGTCGGGCTTACAAACTGTATGCGCCTGAAATGCACCTTGGTGTTTGTCGCAGCTTTCTATAACAAACACCTCAAAAACCTCCAAAACGATGAAATAGGCCAAATGGACAACAGAAACCAGGCAAGGTGAGTATATTTTGTTTATTTTATTCCAAAAGAAAAAGAACAATTTTTTTTTTCCGTTGCGCGATTTTATTCATCGTTATTTGAACCCTTTAACTCCCAGTCGTACAAATTTGTACGACTGGCACCAGCAATGTTTTGAAAATCTGTAGCTTTCACAGATCTGAAGATATGAGCTCAATTATCTCTTATTATAGCAAAGTGATAATTTGTGAAGCGTTTGAAGCCAATTAACCAGCCACAGCTCTGAATTTTCGTTGCATAGGGCTATTTGTTCTGCAGCCAATCCGAAAATGCTCGTTTTCTACTACATTCGAAACCAACAAGAAACACACATCTTGGCCTTGAAATTTTTTAATGAAAAAATAATTCTAAATCCAGAATTTTACATTCAAAGCAAACTTCAAGCCTTTTCCTTTCCGTTCACTACGAAAATGTTCAATCAAACCTTCAGCAGACTGAACAATTACCACTGAATCAGTGCTATGCTTACAAACCTTTACAAGAGGCAGCGTGGCCGAGTGGTTAGGGCGCCAGACTCCTTGAAATCCGGAGGACGCAGGTTCAAGTCCCACTCTGACCACTAAGCTGGAGTTGTTTCTAGGTAGACCCTAGTTCAACTCCTCGGTCATGTTTGTAAATAGCCAACTGGTCTGCCTCCCGCCGGTTGGAATTTTTAAGCATATAGCTGGTTTTCACATGACGTCACTAAAATTCGAACTACAAAACTATTGATCTTCCTGAGATTCTACTTAAATGATGTATAAGAGCAGCTGAAAACTAATATTCATTCAAATTTTCGCTCCGAATGGGTTTTTGGTTTTGTGATACACTACGCTTGAATTTCTAAGCTTTTGCGTGACGCGGGATTCACGTGACGGCCAAGTGAGCTGTCATGATGGTTAAAAACGTGTCTTATTTCGGGGAACTTGGCTATCTGAACAGTTCATGTCTTAGAAAAAGTATTATTTTAATGTTTTAGAGTTGCTCAAGGGATAAATTCAAGTTTTTGTAGCAAAACTCAGTGACAGATGTTTCTGTTGGTTTCGGGCCGCCATGTTGATGCTCATACGGATGGGCACCAGCATGGCGTCTCCGTACAAACCTCTATAAATTTGGGTAAAATATTTCTCCGCATATCTCGCATAAGAAAAATTGCTGTGACCAGAATTTTGGCAAGAGTCTTTGCACATTTACATTCTTTCATTTCTCAGATTCTAGACTTTATCTATTGACCGGTTTTGATTTTTATTTTGATCTATTGAATTGCGTGACACTGAAAACCAGCAAGTATGTTTAGTTGATGTATTTGTTTCTTTCAGTTTAAGTGGCACGCCTGTGAATTAGCCAGGTGTAGCTAAGCGCATTGACCACTATAAACAACAACATTTGAACATTTTTGAACATTTCAAACCTGTAATTTTCCTATTCCTGACCGAAAGGAATGCCTGGGAAATACGCAATGTCGACGGCATGAAGCACAATCTACCTCTCTTTCCTCTGTTTTTTGTAAGAGTCGACCAGCCAATTCTACCGGCAAAATATTACGCCGATTGCGTTCTTTGTAAGTCAAAATCTGTCCAAATTGCCTTGGTATGGTCTTGGAATCCACCCACAAAACGGCTAGAGAGACAACTTTACTCATGAACCGCCATGTTTCCATACGAATAGTTTTGGCGTTCCAATCACCGTCAAATCATCTCTCGCCTCTGGTTTCTTTCAGAAATTTTGCCTCTACCCACCATTCTAGCTTTATGATGCGAGCCTGGGGGCTTCTGCAGTGGAAAGTGACTCGAAAAACACTTATAAACCACAAAATTACCAGATTTGAGCTCGTGTGCTCGCTTACCGAGCAAGCAACGGCCAAATAGTGACGTCACATTTTTTTTTCTGGATCTTGTACTTAAGTTGCCTCCTTTAGACCAAGAGAGCGTGAAATAATTAAACTAGTAGTAAAACAATAGCTAGTTGCCTTTGGTAGGTTTTATCAGTCCAGCTAATAGCGCGGTCTCTCATGGCTCCTAGTAAGATGAGCGTGAAAGGTAATTGGCTATGTGGTCTGAAACGGTGTGCGTATTCTCTTCTTTGAGAAGTGTGGAAAATCTGGACATTACGTTCCTTGAATGCGTTCCTGAACTGATTTAGATAGTACGCAGCCATGCACGCCTGTCTCTGAACTCTTCCTTTCCCCGTCTCATAAAGGGGTTAAATTTTGACACCAGGCAGAGGAGTCCAGGACTCTGTAATGAAAACTTCAATATTGCCACCAAAGATTAAAAATGTCGAAATTGTATCTAAAGCCAAGGTCATAAACGTAGGAACACCAAAACATAACTTATAAACTTGACTCTCGTTCGACAAAAAAAAAAAAATTACTTAGCCGTGAAAAGACAATGGCCATGGATGAGATACTTTTCGCCGGCTTAAAAAAATCGTTTTTTACCCTTCTACTAGCGTCCATTTACCCGATTCGTTGTTAGCGGCTAGCGACTAGTCAGTTTGGCCGATATCTTTCTGTAGATACCAATTGGCAAAGGGTGCATTTCCGTGCAAAAATCGAATTGGATTCTGAAATCGAAAAAAAGAACGGATTTTGGGTTACAATACTGCACAGTGAAATCCCAGCTCCTGTGGATTTTGGTGCATCATGAAATCGAAAATATCCCAGTCCAGAGAGCATTTTTCAGTTCCTTTGATGCACCAAAATCCGAGTGATCTTCGGTCAATCTGTTTTGTGAAGAAACACAAAATCCGTTTTGGATTGCTGAATCCGGTCTCGGATTTTCCTTAAGAATTGCACCCTTGTGTTTTTATAAGCTTTTTTCGTTGTTGGCCAGGTTACAAAATGGTTTTGACTTAATTGTCACTAAAAAGCCCTTTTTAGGGAGTGTCAACAAAGTTTGTATTGTAATACAATGCAATGCATTGCATTGCATTGCATTGTATTGTATTGTATTCGAATTTGTAACCTGTGCGCACAGTTTAACTCAATCAGGAGCGTGTGTTCACAGAAGAGCTCCCACCGTATCCGTGGTGTTCTGAGCATGCGCATGCAAGTTATCGGGGAGACTTCTTGCACTCTAACAAGTTGCCTTGTCTAGTCTCCCGACTGAGTTCAAACCTTATGTAAGAAGAGAAGAGGAAGAGTTTAGGGACGACCTTTGGCGGTATCTATTAATTGTTATTATTACTTTTTTTTTTTGTATACTTTGCCAGCCTGTCACTTGCTTATGATCAGGGAGAGGGGTACTTCTTTCAATCAATCAGTCAATCAATCAATCAATCAATCAATCAATCAAACAAACTTTATCTAAGCTGTATATGTAGATGCTGAAAGGTGGGTCTCGACTATTAAAGAAAGATAGTTTTTTTAACCAATTGGCCTGAAATAGGGTTTGGATTTAAATCATTTTGGTCTTTGTTCAGTGTTTCTATCGAGTTACAGAAACGCGATTTTAAACCAATCAGCGCGCGGGTTTGCTTTGCGCTATTTTCTAAACAGTAATATATAGATTTAGGCCAGCCTAAAAGTGGAGTTCCTGATTATTTTTCGGAATGTTGTTACTAAAATAAATGAAAATAATCCAACATGTATGTGAGGTAAATTGCGAATGATTTAATAGTTTCAGCCGGAACTAGGATTACATCAGCAGATCGAGGTGTAAGATGGTGTGACTATAAAATATAGAGCCATGATGTCAAGGATTTCTGGGAAGCCACCAAAAATCTTGATCACATAACAGAACTGTCTTCTGTGCTTTTTAGTGGCATTTCTAATGTTCTTTCCTACCTTATTAAGAAAGACAAGGCATTGTTATTAATCATTATATTCTTCCTTAGTTAACATGGGGACTCCCACACAAAAGAAGTTTACAC